ACTTCAATAACCTAGAGTTCATGTGATCAAAGAAGCCGTTCTTTGGACCGATTTTAATGAATTGTTCATTAAATCAAAGAACAACTTCTTTTTATTTATGCTACTATTTGGTTGAGTGTGTGATTTATCAGATCTCGTATCTACTTTGCATTTTGATGTTATCTAGTATGAGATTCAAAGTTATAATCGTCTGTAGATTCTGATTATTCGCAGAAATGTTTCTTATTCTCGGTGAAATTACTAATCGATTGTTCTCTGTGTTTAAGAATTGCTCATGAAAGGAAAGGTCTTTGTTACTTGTTTTAGAATTTGTACTTGATCTTTTAAATTGTTATTGATAATTTGTTAATTTTCATTCACCAAGCATGAGATCGTTTATGCTTTTGCGTGGATTTTGCAATATTATGCTGGTTATACTTTCTCGTAAAGTAGCCTTTCAATTGGACTGTTTGAGTTCCGATTTCGAGGTGTCGTGTAATGAAATTCAATCTGTAAAGTACATTTTGAATTCGGCCCCATTGTCGGAGGTGATTCTTTGGGGAATTCCGTGATTACTGAAATATTTTAATAGCTGTGCTATAATTTCAACGGATGTTTTTTTAGTGATGGAAAAAGCTTGACCGAACTTTGAAAAGTTGTCAATTATTGTTAAGAACTTTTCGTTCGAAACAGAAACAGAGTATACCTGAGTATCGATTAAAGATGTTCAAAAGATATTGATCTGATAAGGGTAGGCTTAAAAATAAGGTTGCCTTTCGTACTTTGTTTTATTGCATATCTCACATGCTTTTATATATTATGCTTGACCTTCTTTTTCTAGGTTAGGCCAGTAGTATCGTTTTTTCAAAGATAAAACGTTTTCTGTCATTTCGCAATGGGAAGTTTTAATTTCGTGGAACATTTGAATCTTTTTTTTTGTTCTTCAGGATCTGCAATGTCCTCTATAGTTAACAGTTTAAAAGAATTAGAATTAAACGATGTTTGTGAAACTCGTAAGCCTATGGGCTCTAGAATTTTATTGTGGAAATACATACCTACAATATGTATTGTTACAAATTAAACTGAATTTGCTACTTCAAGACAAGATAACCCAGGGTCGTGGAATTCAAAAAATTAAGATAACGTGTAGTCCCTTTATGTGCAAATGAAACCACTCAAAATCCAACAAACAAAAATTTTATTTGATATTTAACAATGTTATATGTAACATAGAGTAACAGTAAATGTTACTTTAAAATTTTAGTGTTGACAGCTTGGTTTTTCCGGTGAATCTGATACCATATACCTTTCCAATCCGGAGCTCTTCAATTCAATGGGTGTTGGGGTTTCACTTTCGTGAACTGGAACTCTTCGTGTTGATCACTGTATTCAGGAAGAGGATATTTTGCTAGGGTTACGTCACTCCAGCTGGTCCAGACTCCAAACAGTGATCTTTATGTCGAGTAGGTACCAGAGCTGGGCAAAGCCCTCAGTAAAAGGGCTTGAAGCACTAAGCCCTAAGCCCTTTATCAAAGTGCTTCAATTTCAAGCACAAATTCCTTTTTATTTTCAAAAGTGCTTCATATAAGCACAAAGTCCTCAAAGTGCTTTGGGCTTGACAAGCACAAAGCCCTCAAAGTGATTTGAAAAGTGCTTGAAGCCTTGGTGTGCCTTGAAAAGGGCTTCAAGCTCTTTAAATGTGCTTCAAGCTCTTTAAATGTGCTTGAAGCTCTTTAAATGTGCCTAAAGCACTTTGAATTTGTAATAAAATTCTCAAAGTGGCATAAGCTACCGCGTACACTCATCACACAGAATTGGTATAGTAGAGACGAACTTTACATTTCTCAGAGTAGCAGTAGTATGTTTTTTTTTGAGATGTAGTTCTGGGGGTACTTGGGGTACAACATGGTAATTCAATTTTAAGGTTTTCAAAATGTTCAATGGGGAAAAGTGGAAAAAATCCAGTGATAAAGTTAAATAGGTTACCAACATAAATTAATTATTTATTTGAATAATAAGTTCATTAATTTTTTTTTAAATTCCATTCTAAGCTCAAACCCAAAACCTCCATTGTTAAGAGAGAAAAGACATAAGACGGTTCAAGTTCAAATAATAGAAAAAAAAATTAAGGGACAAAACACGATCGAAAATTTTCAAGTGGAGGATAGGTTGAGTGATGGTCAATTCAAATTCCTTTCAAAGTGCTTCAAGCCCTTTCAAAGTGCTTCAAGCCCTTTCAAAGTGCTTCAAGCTCCCAAAAGTGCTTCAAGCCCTCTTAAAGTGTTTCAAGCCCTTTCAAAGGGCTTCAAGCTCCCAAAAGTGCTTCAAGCCCTCTAAAAGTAATTGAAGCTCATTGAAAGGGCTTGAATAACTTTTTTCAATTACAAATTACCAAGCACTTTTCTAAAGTAATTGACTTTGCAAGCCCCAATTACAAATCTATAAAAGGGCTTGAAGCACAGGGCTTTCAAGCCCTCAAAGTGCTTCAAGCACTTTCGCAAGCACAAAGCACTCAAGCCCTGCCCAGCTCTGGTAGGTACCCAGAAAAAAATAAGGCAGTATCAGGTTCACCAATATTTGGAATAATAAATCCCTGAATTCTCTCAAAAAAGTGAGTGTCTTGCAAAGAAAATTGAAATTTAAAACGATTATTGTACAGACACTTCCTTCTAACAGAATCAGGTATGAACAGCTATTAAAATAACAACAATAAATTAAAATACTCGTTATGATTGAGCAAAATGCTGCTTTCCTGACAGCAGCTCTGACAGGCAAAAATATGAGTAAAAATAAGGTAAACCAATAAGAAATTAAATCTTTGGATTCTCCCCCAAATAGACAAAATTTTCCTTTCAAATTAAGGTAGAAGGTAGCTACTATAGATACTACAAGATAAACCTGGGGTTGAAATTAATCAAATCCAGAATATGTCAAAATTCTTGAGATGTTCAAATTAATAGTTATTTATGTATCAAGGGAATTATGCAGGTGTTAATACCCCAGGGCAACGTTTGTGTCCCGAGGGCCTCCGGCCCGAGGGACACCAATTGCCCGTGGGTATTAACTCCTGATAATTCCCGTGGTACATAGATAATTTTATATCCTACTGAATTTACTGTATTCTGTCTATTTTTATAAAGGAATAAGCCATAAATCAAAATTTCTATTTTTTGTCAAAGTGTTACCTATTCAAGGTAAAAGCGGGAGTTATGGAAATCCTTAACTCCCTTGGGAGTTATGATATCCTTAACTCCCTTCCTTAACTCCCTTGGGAGTTATGAAAATCCTTAACTCCCTTGGGAGTTAAGACCCTGTTTATGATTATCGTAACCAAGGTATTATATGGTTTTAATAGTTCAGTAGGATATAAAACTTTTTACTGAATTTTTGACCTGTCTGGATTTCTATAAAAAAATTACACCCTTTAGTCGAAATAATAATTGAGGGAGTCAAACAGGAAATGGCTATTCAGGCCTCTGCCTGGATTCAATAAAGAGTTGATAGGGATGGACACACAAATTTCGTTTTCACCGACTCTATTTAGAGCAAATGGTTCAATATTCCCACACTAACAATTGATTCTGAAAACCAGAGCAGCAGTACCTATTTAAGTCCTAAAGTCTGAATTGATTTACCTCAGATAAACGTGGTACTACCAATCAGCACTCACACAAAATGGAAGCCAACAATTAGATAAAAAAAATTAAAACATAATATTTTATTTTCTTCGATTTACACTGGTGTACATCCACAACTCCCCTCTTTGCATAATATTTTATATTTCAAGAATAGATAAGATAAGATTTATCAGGTAAAAACTTAACAATGATATGATAATATGAATTGATAGCGAAATATATTGAAAAATCTATAAGGGAGAATCCAAAAATTAAGAACAAAAATTATTAAAAATAAAGAGGACTTGCCTGCCAGACTTCTGTTGAGGAAAGAGATCGTTTTAGAAACCAAAGCTCACAGGAAAACGATCCTGTGTTTTTTTATACTTAACTTCATTTTAACCAGGTCAACCAATCAGACGAGTACACCCAAAAGATCACAATGAAAACCCACGTGGAATAAAAGAGAATAGATAAAAATCCACTAGAATTATTTTAATTGTTTACAAATTATTAGTTATTTATACACCAAGTGAGTTAAATGAATGTCTATTCATGAGAAGAAAGTTTAACCCACGAGCCGTAGCGAGTGGGTTAGTTTTCTTCGAATGAATAAACATTTTAACTCACGTGATGTATACAATACTTTATCTCTCATTTTGTGGAAATTCAGAAAATAAAGTACAAGGAAAAATGCCGAGAGTGAGTTAAAAAATCTTTAAATCACTGAGGTGATAAACGTCTACTTACCTTTATTATTATGCGTACAATAATGTCATTTTTAAACGTCAAAATGAGATAAAATAATTTAAATTAAACAATCCTAAGAATAATTTGATCTGTCTAGTGGTTTTGGGAATTGAAAATTTCTTTATAGCGTCAATTTTTTTTGGGATTTGGTTTAATTCCTTCTGTGGTGATTGCATGACCTAAAAATTCGACTGTTTTTTTTTTCAGAAATTCTGAGTAGAATTTTCAGATTGAACTGCTCTAATCTTTGAAATATTCTTTTCAGTTTTTTTATGTGTTCTTGGAGAGAAGTGGAGTAAACGATGATGTCATCCATATAGACTAAACATATTTTGTTTTCTAGTCCGGATAAAACATTGTCCATCACTCTTTGAAAAGTGGCTGGGGCGTTTTCGTCAAATGGCACGCGTGTATATTCGTAATGCCCGTTTTCTACGTTAAAAGCAGTTTTAGGAATTGAACTTGGGTGCATTTCCACTTGGTGGAAACCAGAAGCTAGATCTAAGGTTGTAAAATAATTGCTTCTGCCAAGCTTATCCAGAATGTCAGATATACTTATTTGGCAATGGATATCTGTCATCAATAGTTTTTTCATTCAGTTTGCGATAGTCAATGACCATTCGCCATTTTTGTTTGCCTGAAGCGTCTAATTTCTTGGGGACTATCCACACAGGGGATGACCAAGAGTTTGATAATATTTTCGTTTATGATTTTTTTAATTTGTTCATTGACCTCCTGTTTATGAACGTGGGGATAACGATAAGTTTTTACGTGAACAGAGGGATCTCGTCTGTTGTCTTTATTTTATGTTTCACCTGATTGGTAAATGACAGTTTTTCATCTGGTTTATGAAATATCGTGAGAAAGGATATAACTAATTGCTGTAAAGCATTGAGTTCTTCTCTAAATGATCAGTTCGTAGAAGATTTAAGGGATTATTTACATAATGATTGGAATATTGAGGTAGGTAGCATTTGTTCCAGGTTAAAGATTTTAAAATTATCTTCGTAAATATCACAATTGTCTTCCAGTTGGTCGAAATGTTTTCTAGGTAAGAGATTCGCTTGTACGGTTATGTACTTCTAATGGAATCGTGCCAGTTTTGACTTTAACAATCGTTGGTAAGATAACGTGAGTTTCGGAATTTATTGTTCATTATTCAAAAGACACATGTCGGAAAAATCGATATTCATATGGATGGGCTGGATGTTCTAAGAGTTCTTTTTCAAAATGTAATCCACGAACGAAAACTTTTTCGAAAAAATTCGCGAACTACTTTTTTTTCGAAAAAACACTAACTCCGTTTTTTGAGTCTCCAAATAGCCTTGCACTCTGAGGATCCTACTGGCTGCGCCAATTCAGTTTCCACTTGGGTAACTTTGTTTTAAAAAACTATTTATTTTCAAAACTAAATACCTATTACAAATGAAAACTTAAGTCTTTATTGGGTTTACAATTGTTTACAATACATATAATATAATTATATTGTAAACTTGATTCAACCGCCTGTTGTTTTCAAATATTAAAAATAACAATATTATTAGCCAACTATTGACTCAATTGATTATAATTCAATGAATTTAGCTTCAATAATTGTGCTTTCCAATGCTAATGAAAACATCTCAACCCAAAAGAAAATTGATTTAGAATATTTAAACAGGTAACAAAAGAAAATTAAATATAACAACAAACTTTATTTTTGTACAAAGTTTTAACAGTTTTTTTCATTTATTTTTTTCTTCTTCTTTCTTTTTGATTTAAGTTTTGACAAAAAGCATTCATATTTCGCACGTTTTTTGTTTTTGTTCACATTTAATCTTGTCTTTGGTGTTGCTATATCTATAATTGATGATCCCGAATCTGATAAAATTATGCTGGAATCTTTATTTTCTTTTTCCATTTTCTTTTTTCCTTTTTTCGAAACTTGACTACTTTTTCCCTTTTCACTTTGTTTTTTAGGTGATCCTCCATTTTCATTTAAACGTTTTCTTTTAGTTGCTGATTGGTTGATTTTTTCAGACTTTCTCTTGGACTTTTTAACATTCGGTAATGGAGTATCCAAAATAATAATATCTGGATTTTCAATATCAATTTCCTTTTTATTATTCTCACTCAAGCATATTATTTCTTCTCCAAAATCTTCTTCAGGTTGTTTTGCATTTATTTTTGAAACTTTACTTTTTTCTTTTTTACTCTTTTTATTTGGTGACTGTTTTATTTTATTTGCTGATTTGTTGATTTTTGACTTTGTTTTGCTTTTCTGAACTTTATTAGGCAATGGAGTATCCAAAAAAATAATGTCTGGATTTTCAATATCAATATCTTGTCCAGAATCAATTTCATTTTCACTGATATTTCCCAAACACATCACTTCTTGAGGTTGTTTCACATTATTCCCAGTAATAATTGTATCATTTATCTCGATGATCTCTTCTCCAATATCATTTTCGTCAATGTTAAATCCTCTCATTCTATTTCTGGCCAGAACTTCTTTAACAAAGGATAGCCTGTTTGATTTTTTTTTAGTATTCTCATCTTCATCATCAACTACAATATATTCGTCACAAAATAGGACATCATCGTCTTCATCATCATCAACCAAATTCAAGAGAGTCATAACTTTGTTTGTTTCAGTAAATGTCAAATCAACATAGATGTCTTCATAGACCTGAAAAAAGACAATTTTTTTTAGTTCTTAAGACATCTAAATATTATTGGGTTTCATAAAAAACGCCTGCAAATTCATAATGTTACTAAACCAGACTACAAAGATAAATTGTATCCAATTCTTACCCAATTTACTCCCAGCCATGATCGTAGATCAACAGGAAAATCGTAGCCGTTTGGCAACCAGTTTTTTCCAGTATTTTCCAACTTGTTCAAATGCGAATGAAGTTTTCCATATAATTCGCAGAAAAATTTCGTGTTGAACTTAATTAATACGGAAATTCTTGAAACAAGGCCATACAATATAAGAAACAATGTCCAGAAGTGACCTCTATACAGTCTGTGGGTGAGTTGAATGGCTATTTCTTCAGCTGTTTCATATATTTTTTCCAGAAGCTTCACAATTCCTGGAAAAGAAATTAAAATTTTAATAATATTTGGAACTTTGGTCTTTGATATATGCGAGGATATATGTAGTGATATTTTAGAATTGAAACCCATCTGGTATATCTTTGTGTTATATAGTGGGTTTTTCAAGTCGATGCATTTAATACATAATTATTATTAATTCAAATTCAAATTCAAATTATTTATTAACGGACCAGCCAGTATCATTAACAAGTTCTAGAAAGCTTTTCAAAACCATTGTATGAGCAGAAATGGATGGAAATTTGTGAAATAGAGAAAAACAATGTCAACCAGCTATGGTCTAAAGGTACATTTTTTACAGGAGGAGTCTAAGAATGACATATTGAGCATCCATTTGGAGGTATAGAATAATGTTTTGAAGTTCTAACAGGGTTACACAAAGGGTCTTTGTAATACCGAAGAGCGTCCCAAGAACAATTAGAATAGAATTTATTGAAAGCTGTAGGGGTGTGCATTTGAATCATTAGGCATTCTAACTGTTTATGAACTATACTATACATCTATGATTATCTTAATATTTTTCTTTAATAAATCGGATTCTTTTCGAACACGAGAATGGGCATCAATACAATACTTGTACACAATGTAAATTACCCTATTCCTCACCCTATTCATAGACTTTCTTCAGGACTTTCTCAAACTGAAAACAATCCTAGTTACATGTGTTTGAGATTATTATACATTATTGTTGACGTGTTTCAGGAATTTTTTCGAAAATTTTTCAACTCCGAGATAATAGGGGTGGTAAGTTTTAAAATGAACACCCTGTATGTGCTCGGAGATATGTATATTTTTTTCCAGATTTTTATGTACCACGGACAGGAAATGTCGAGGGACATTTCCCTCGACATTCATCCTCAGTATCATCTTACCTATATGATTTGAAATAAATAATTTATTATCATTATTATTCTGTTTTTCAACCCCTTCAAAGATAAATTAGAGAGATCTACCTCTCTTTGCAGTCGATTGGCATCCCTGCATATTCTCGATATAGGACTAAAATAGTCATAATTTTTCCTGTGTACTTGAATATGTATTTATATTATCCAACAGAGGAGGACAATCAATTGAATTTATTTATAGTTTTAAATAAAAAGCATGTGCCAAGATTTCGCCTGCGGATGTCTAATCGTTGGTCTAATGTAGGAAGGTGCAATAATACAGATACCTCAACAGATACATAATTCATCAAAATTAATATTCTCAACAGGCACTGTTAACCTATAGCTTTTCAGTCTAAGAAACCGTCTTTGAACCACTTCCAGCATATTTATAGAAACCAGGTAGTTTGAAAACCAGACAGGACAAGCATATTCAAGTATGGATCTTAATTCTTTCCTACTGAACAATAAACAGTTTTAAATGCATAAGTATTGTTGAAATTTTTTAAAGTGCGCCTCGATTTTCAGAGCATGCCTAGCGTGCGAAAAATTCAATTTTCAGAGGCAGTCGTAGGAAAAACAATTCACAATACAGTTTTAGAACATACCTAAACCTAAGCACATAACAAATAACATCCTGATGAATTCACCAAGTCAATGACTATTCAATTGCTGTGGATTCCAAAAAACAGATATAACTTATTTAAAGAACTATCTAGCTAGCAATCTCTTTCTAAAGGCAACAATAGGAGGACAACCAAAGATGTCAAAACTCTGTCTCCTTGAGTTGGCAACCCTGAGCACCCTTAGTAAAGTCCGACAAATACCATTTTAAAGTCACGTGATACTGGTGGCAAAAAACGTATGTCCATTGATTATGTCGTTCATATCACCTACAAAATGCTACTGGTGATTAATTACTATTGAATTTTAGGATATGTTCCCACTAGCATTTTACAAACGCGTTTCTGAAGTAGTATTAACCAATCAGAGGGCAATTTTAATACTTGCAATTGTTGCGACACTCACTTTTGTCGTATCTGCTGTCTGTTGTAATAGATTCTGAACTTAAACTGGGTACCCGTTTTCTATTTGCTTGTTTTCGAGTTGGACAAAGGTTAATATAGTCAAAATTATTAGCTGTGTTTGTTCATTGTATTATTTTCGAAAATAACTTTGACAAACTAATTGATGACAGTGACGGATTCTATTTCAGGTAAGAATATTATGAAGAATAATTAGACAGCAATTTTTTTGTCAATTTTACTATCACCGCTGTTTGAGATGTATTCAACAAGGATAGTGAAAAATCACGTGACTTTAAAATGGTATTTGTTGGACTATACTATGGAATGACACATGAAACATGTCAGAACATCTCACCCTTCTTTCTTCTTCCCTCAAAGAAACGAAACCCAAAAGATTTGGGCAGTCAATTAACCCTCTCAAAAGTTTGTAAAGGAAAGAAAGATCCGCCTGAAGTCTCCTGCTTTGCAAGGTATGAACACGATAAAGCCCTCACCCCGTTATACGTATCCTCATCATGAGCCAAGCCCAATCTGTAAGCAACCATCCTTAGAAATCTATTCTAAACCCTTTCCAGAGCTGCAATGTGAAGAGCGTATTGGGGTGAACTAACAACCGATCAGTATTCCACTATTGCACAGTACAATGTATCTCTCTTCTACAGGTACTATCACGGAAAATGCTCTGAAGAGTTGGCACGTATGATTCCACCGAGAGTAGCACCTACCAGGCGAACCCGTCAAACAGACGGTAACCATGAATTTACTGTCAAACTAGAGGCACCAAGAACCTCATTATATCAGAATTCATATCTCTGGAGAACAGCATCGCTGTGGAATAAACTCCCTGCGACGGTTTTCCCTGCAGGTTACAACCTGAACCGTTTCAAGACCAACATACACCGACATTTCCGCGCACTTGCCGCTTCTCGAGCGTGATAGGACATTTCCTTGCGAGTGCGCATATCCGTAAAAAAAAAAAAAAAAAAAAAAAAAATGTTCGCAATGTACTTACAGACATATGAGTAGTGGACCTACATATGAAGCCCAAACATCAAACAACCCTTAACACAGTATTGGTAATATGGCCATTAAAATAAAAGACACCTTGGAGTCAGATTCCACTCATAAATTTTGAACGCTTGCTACTTCCCAGATTGATGTGTTATTAATTGGGTAAGCAAATTTCACTATTTGGGCAAATCTGGAAAAAGTTATTTCATTTGGCAATAATGAGGTCCATTTCGTTCGAACCATATCATTTATCAAAAGAATCGATATCATCTTGCAGGAGTTGTGAGTTTTTCAACGTTGATACCTGACGATAAAGTTCAAGATCATCTGCAAATGACAAAAATGAGATGTGTGCAATGGAACTACCCACATCGGATATGAACAGATTGAACAGGATCGAGCTACAGTGAGACCCCTGGAGTACACAATCAATCAATCAATCAATCAAAATATACTTTATTGTCGGAAAATAAATTTCATTGACCTAACTGCCTGATTTCTCCCAACAAGAAAGTCAGCAAACTAACTTAGAATTGGACCTCTCAACCCCAAATAACCAAGTTTCCTAATGATGGTTAACCTTGTCAAAGGCTTTAGAGAAGCGCGAGTATACAAAATCAACCTGGAATCCCCTCTCCATGCTGTCAAAATAAAATTCTGATACAAAACCTGCCCCCGGATTCTATTTTACGAGTCGAGTCGGATTGTCTCGATATCGAATACGACAGCTCCGGAGTTACCGGGTGATAGGTATTGATAAATCGGATAATAGAATCGTTATATCGACAATTTGATACGAATTTCGACTCGATTCGTAAAATAGAATCCGGCAGCAAATTTGTTGATGTCGCCCTACCCACCGTAAACACATGCTGTTCCGAATTAAAAAGGTACCTACAATCCCAGCTAAGTTTCCTGGTAATGAGACAATCCAGCATTTTAGTTTATGTGTCCAGTAAATTGTGACCTCTTCTCTCAACCCACTTTTAAATATTGGTTTCAAAAAGCTGAACTTCCACAAAACCTGGTAAGAACCTGTTGACAATGACTGGTTGAGAGAGATTTGCCAGGGGCGTCACAAGGGAGTACATGATTTTCCTTATAAGGAACAAGGGAATTGCATCCAGCCCACATGACAACTTATCAAGTGAATTTTTTTACTTGGTCTATAATTGGGTACTTATTTAATTCGCATTAAATAAATAAAAAATAAAATATCAGCACAAGAAACAGCATAACCAGAAACATCAGTGACGTAGGATAAAGAGCATTCCGGAGTCTGATTAGTGATATGGCTTGAGTAAAGACTAGAAAAGAAGTCTGCAAACAAGTCTAGTCTCCTGATCGCTACAGCCAGTAGAGCCATTATAACCTCGATTATAACTCATGTTACAGGGAAGAACATAGTTATTTCTAAGATTGTTGAAGTGTGACCAAAATGATTTAGGATTCCCATTGATGTTATTTTCAGTTTTGAGCAGGTTCATTCTATAAGAGGAGTTCCTCAAATCCTTGAACCTATCCCTCACTTTGGAGAGCAACAAATAGTCCAAATTATCTCCCTGTAATCCTGTAATATTCCAATAGCAGGCGGTAAAACCGATGAAGCTATCGTTTTGTCTGTAGAGATATTGTTCACATTGTTTTATGCACTATAATGTATCATTCTTGCTGCACTATTTTTAGCTCTTTGTCTAATCGGTTTTTAAACGCGTTTATGGTAGGAGCCGTTACTGTGTTTTCCGATAAAGCATTCCACGAGTAAACAATCCGATTAGTAAGGTAATTTTAACGTTGTAGTTTTGCAGCTTTTTGTTTGTCTAGTTTTTTGGTCCTCGAAGTTGCTGATTTTGATTTTGATGGAAGATATTTTCAATGGCACAGTTATAATATCCACTTGTAATCTTAAAAGTTTCTATTAAGTCCCCTCTATGCCTTATTTCTTTTAGAGTTGTTATCTGAAATCTTGTTTACCTTTCAGAGTATGGTAGATTTTGCAGTTCTGGTGTTATCTTTGTTACTCTCTTTTGAATTTTTTCCAGCATCTCAATGTCCTTGATATAGTAAGGGTTCCACACTGTGAATGCATACTCCAGTTTTGGCCTGATGTAACTTTTGTATAACTTAGTTATCATTTCGATTGAGTGATCTCTAAATGCATGTTTAATAAGATAGACAAAAGAGTTCGCTTTTTGGCTATTTTCACAATGTGGCTTTCCCATTTGAGGTCTGATGTGACAATGACTACAAGATCGTTTTGCTCTGCCACAGTCGACAAAATAGTGTTATTTAAAGAGTAGTCCTGATTTGGGTTATTTGGGCCAATTCTTAGTACCGTGCATTTTGACTCATTCAGCTTCATTCCCCACAATCTAGACCACTCTTCAACTTTTCTTGAGTCTTCTTGAAGTAGTACTGCACTGAGTATTGGGTTTGCATAGAGTTTGCCATCATCAGCAAAATTTTTCATTTTTGTATCTATGTTGGTATAACAAGATCAAAGAGATAGGAAGTAAAGAGCAGCGGTCCAAGCACTGAGCCCTGCACAACTCCGCTACTAACTAAATGTTTGCTTGACATTTCTCCATTTACTCTTACTTGGTCTTGGTAGTATCGTTCATCCACTAGATCAGCTATCAAAGACAAAAGCCGCCCTCGCACTCCATAATATTCCAACTTTCCAAGAAATAGGTCATGTGGGACTTTGTCAAAGGCCTTCTCATAGTCCAAGTAAATTATATCTGTCAGCTGGGAGTTATCGTGGTATTCCGTCCAATCATTCAGACATTCTAATAGGTTTGTTGAGGTTGAACGTTTTGAGAGAAACCCATGTTGAGACAATGGTATTAAGTTATTTTGAAAAAAGAAATTTGTACTTCTTTTACCATTATTTTCTCCATACATTTCAATGGGTTACAGGTTAGGCTAATTGGGCGGTAGTTTTCTGGCTGATGTCTGTTGCCTTTCTTAAAAAGTGGAGTAACAATTGACAACTTCCACTGCTAAGGTACTCTTTCTAGCTCCATACACTCCTGCATAGCATCCGCGAGTCGTGAACCAACTGAATCACTGCAGTTCTGTAGCAATATTGTTGGAAAGCCATCTGGCCCAGGACTTGAGTCTTTTTTCATGTTTTCGCTTCGATTTCGTCAGCTGGGATAAACGACAGGGTCGTATTTAGAAAAGTGATATATATTTCAGAATAAAAATTTATTTTCAATTTCTTTAAAGGAAGTTAAGTTATTAAAATCCAAAAATCCTAAAATAAGAGTCCAAAGTAAACACTTATAATAAGAGTAAACACTTAAATCCAAACTAAAACCAGGTTTGAAACGCAACACCGAAACACAAAGGCACAGAACACTACATAAAAAACCAAAAAACCGATTGCGATAATAACAAATAAAAAAATAATGCAGAAAACGGCAAAAAACTGAAAGATTTCAAACAAAAATTCGAAATTCAAAATTCAAAGACCAGAATCTGATATTTTTATGTGTCAAATCAAAATGTTATGTATCATTATTTGATAGTTGTCAGAAAAAGGGACAGATCTGGGGATTTTATTTCTTTTCAACTGGTGAAAATTCAAACTATATCGTGAATACGACTATACCTTTGAATATTAAACTACAGGAAGGAGCATAACTTCGAATCTGCGCGACCAAAATATGTGGAGGTTGCATATGGCCGACTAGTATTTCCGGTTTGGCAGTGGCGTATATTTATTTAAATATGATTGTGAATATTATGACTCACTCTTTTCTCACTAATTCCATTACTTATTATCACTTAAAACCGCTAAAATCCATTAAACATCCACTTGAATGAGGACACAGCGAACCACCAAAACAAATGATGAGTCCATACTTGGAGGCTCAAAATGGCCGTTTCCGTCCCTGCGTTATCTGTAGTGACAGATAGAAAACGCTCCTTCCTGTAGTTTTATATTCAAAGATTGGTACCCTCTGCTAGTAAATAAAAATAAAAAAATTCACCTGTCAGTTGCACCTGTACTATTTGGAAAATAACTCTCTAGTGTCAATAATAGCTATTTACCTAACAAGTGCGGAAAATGAATTTTTCCGCACGCAGCTGCCGTTCACCGAACGACGAGTAGCGGACTTAGGAAACATAACGCACGAGTGGCATACAATGTTTTATCCAACAAGTAGAAGAAATCGTTTTTTTATGAGTTAATACAAAAAAAAATACAAGATTCTATGCGTCGGCGTCTTCCAGCACTATCAGCAGCTCTAACGATATGGGAGCGTCTGGTTACAATGAACCAACAAATTTTACAATGAATTCAAATTCAAATAAACCGTTAACGTTTCCTTTAATATCAATGTGAATTTTACTTGTAATAGTAATAAATAAATAGAATACTACTTTAAATATGGACGTGTGTTATAATCCATAACTCACTAATAAATAGAATTACTTTAAATATGAATGTGAGTTATAATCCATAACTCACTAGTGAGTTATGGATTATAACACACTAGTGTGTTATTTGATAGTTTACTGCTCTAAAATGACATTAATAATAATAGTCATAACTGTCATGTGTTGGATAAATAAATAAATAAGTAACTAAGTGTTACCAACTGATTATTTTTGCTAGAAAAATCCCCAACTAACAGGCCTAACACTGACCACAAAAGAAAAATGATAAATAACACCAAAAATTGAGAAAATAACATAAAACACACCGTCGCTTGTGGCCAAATTTTAAATTTGTGAGGGAATATGTGGCCTTCTGCAACTTGTATTTCAATATACCATTTTATTATTATTTCAAATGGATTCTCAGTTGCAAGGAACTTCTACAGATTACTTCATACTTCCTACAATATTTTCTTACCTTGTAACCTAACCAAAATAAAGCTTAGCATATTTCTTGCTGGCAAATAGGTTTCCGTTTCCCATCCATATCTTTTCGGTGTCATATCCAACATCCCTTTCAAATGCCTAGATAGATCGGTATTGAAATAGATATTCAAGGATCGACTTAAAGTTTCGATTAACTTAAAATCCTTTGCGCTCCTGAACTTCATTTTCATTCTGTATATTATTCGGGCGAGTAATGTCGCTTCGGTCGCAAGAAATTTGTCTTTGAAGTGTCTGATACCATCTTGAAGAGCCAATCTGAATTTAGTTAGATCTGAAAATGCGTTTAAGAGTTGTCTTGTCTTTATTTTATGATAAAATTATCTTAGGGCTTACCTAGATCTTCTGTAGATGCTTTGTAGCTACTGACTGGGGGTTGAAACAAATCTTTTCGATTCCACAACGGGTTGTTATCCATTATTTTTTTATTGAAAAATGAAAATATGCATTAAATACACACTACACTCACTACGCAGAAAAAAAACATGCAATGATCTAACCTAACTTTTAAATAGGGCAATCCAACGACCTGTCAAAATGGAATTCAAAATGGAGGCCAATGCCTTTTTATTTTAAAAAAAATGTCGTTTTATTGTGATTTTTGATTTGTATAAAGTCTGTAAAGTGTTGATTTTTTGGAAAATGCATACGTTATGTATTGTACTTAGTTTTGCGAGCCGTCCTAATCGCGAGAAAGTCTAGTTTCATGCCGTTCCTGCAGAGACAAGACAAAACACAGGTTTTTAACAGAGGAAAATGATTTGTCTGTACTTTGTGAGGGCTTCATGGATTGTAGCAAAAGAGAAAAAATCTTACGAAATCCATATTGAAAAACCAAAAAGTCTCTCTACATAAATGGTGTATGGATTCAAGCCATTACTATCCTCCACATCAGCTTGTGTCGATACCCCTTGAATAGCAGTACAGACAAAAAAAATTAACATCAGGATTCAGGATTTGGTTAAGAAAAAACTAAACAGGAAACAAATCTTGGATAGTACCTACCTAATTGTTTAGCAGGTAAAGGTTTGTCACACAGAAATCATAACTTTTGCAAACATCCGGGTTTTCTACTAATAATTTCTTAAACTAAAAACTTTCCATCTTAAAATACGAAAATTATCCTCCCAACCACAGTCATCTAAAGACACCACAAAATACACAAAAAACAGTTTTTTGTGCAACCATCCGCAAAATGAGCTTTCGCGGCCGCCACACAGTCCACGAAATTCAATTTCGCGGCCGTTGCCCTTGGTGACGGCCGCGAAACTATAAATCAAAATTTGACACTTTGACAACAACAATAAGTAAATTTTATTTCCAAATTCTTCAGAACAACATAAATTATTTAGGATAAATATTAACACTTACATGACAGTTTGCATTATTACTAATATTTACTCCTGAAGCTGAAGCAACTAATAATCCAGTGTTTTTGAATTATTGAACTCTCAAAACTTCCCATTTCGGCATTAAATTAGCCAATATGCTTTCAGACACCATTTTGACGTTTTGTTTGTCACACCAATTTTTTGAACTCGCAGTAACAATTTTCATATTGCTGCTTAGTTTTCCAGGTATATAGAGAGTTATTGGAACTAATAAATACTGCCTCGCAGTATTAAGGATCTACGTTATTTTATTAGTGCATCAGCACTATTTTTCCAAGAAAAAAACAGTTATTGGAAGACTGTAGTAGGTGCTAGAGTATTACCTTATTTTGTATTCATAATTTTGACAGCTGATAGCTATGTTTATAAATTTCAACCTCAAAAAGTGTTTATTTTTGTTTGTGATTTTCTTCCGATACTCATTTTTCGATGCTACCCACAGTAAAATGGAAAACTACTGTAAAAAATAAATTTTCCAAGTAAAATTAGGTCACCGTCGAAAAGCGAAACGTCAAAGTCGTCCAAAATGTCAGAAATTTGAAATAAGGGAAGTTTACTGCCTCGCACTAACCATACACAAATAAAGACAAGCAGTAACCTTATTAAGGAAATCCTTATTTTCAGACCCAAATGCGCATGCGTAGATGTCAAAATAAGGCTAATTTAAATACTGCTTGTCCTTATTGCACGTCCAATAACTCTCTAACTCAGAAATAGCTGATTGAACCATATTTTTTAGCTCTGGAGGAGTGCAAGAGAGTGAAACATCTGTATCGCTGTCGGATATTTTCACGATTTTTTGAGAACCGTCAAATTTTTTTGTGTATTTGTTTACTTGCAAAATATGTCATCCATGACATCCATGGAAACGCTGTGCCACCATAGCCACCAGGTTATACATCAAACTGGTAATTAGTTCCACATGTTTGTTGAAAGGAGTACATTTTTTCTATAATTCCACATAATTTTCATGGTTGCACAAAAAATAGTGTGTATACCATGACCGCGAAACTTTTTAGCGTCCTCGAGATTATCTTGCCTCGGCCGCAAGCGGCCTCGGCAATAACTTTTCTCTACGTACGCTAAAAGGCACTTCGCGGCCTTGGTATACAAATAACTATTTTGATGAAAAATATCACGGTTGTTTGAATTAAAGGACCCCGCAATATTTAAACGGAAATTGGTTACCCGTGATATTTGGATGAAATTTAAATATGTTATTGGTGATGGCGTAAGCAACACTTTTTACCATGGGCGCAACCTCTTGTATATATGACAGGTGAGGCGGTATCGGCTGTCAAATATTGGAATTTAATATTCAAAAGCAGGGTAATTATCGCAGATTTCGATGAAGCAAGTATCGATTCCTACTAAGCCGACCAAGGTTAAACAAAAAATGTCAACCATTTTGACAGCTGTCAAAACCCTGCCAAATGGCAGCACTCATATTTTTCAGTTTTCAATATTTCATGATGTGTCATTTGACAATTTCAACCTATGTAAATTCTGAGTTCAAAAATTGAAAAAAAAAAAATTACAGAACTTTCAAAACCTGTCATTTTTTTTGGTAAAAACAGATTCCATTTTGGCTCTTTTTCGTTTAAAGGTAGTTTATTGGTGATAAAACATTAAACAAAGCTCATAGACATCAAATTTTGACAGCTGTCAGAATTTGACATTAGCTTTAATTGAAAAAAAAAAAACAAACTAAACTCCAGTTCTGTTCCAATGGGCTCTTTCACTAATTTTTGAAATTGGCATATTTGGATAAAGCAACTAAAAACAGAATTTTCTGTATTTTTACTTTTGAAAAATTCATAGTCCTTCTTGAGAAAACAGAAAAAAAAGAAATACCTCCAAATAAAAACCCAGAATTTATTTCTATGACGTCGCAGCTCGCTATTTGACCGTGTTGCCACTAATTGTCAACATTGAAAATTTGTAATAGATTTAATTCTGAAATGTTCCCAAAATATCATGAAAAGTAGTTAAATTAATTAGTTATGGATTCAAGATTTTATAACATTTTTATTGAAATTATGCTTAAACACAATTTAATATAATTTTCTATGTTTAGTTTTATTTATTTATTTTACGTTGCACTACATTTAGTCACCACCGACAACAGCGCATTCGAACCTTTACCTGCATTTACTACAGGATAAATACAGCAGAGGCGGACAGCTCTTTCCAACAACAAGCGAAATGAAAAATATTTATGCGACGTCAGCAAATCGGCGCGTTTTTAAATAATTCAAATTTTGGTAGTTTAAAATGCCTGTAAAAAACTTATTTAACCTTGTAGAACATTTTTTTTTGGTATATGTGCCTAAAATAGTCCCTCCTTTGGGATTTTATACCTAAATTACGTATTTAAATTTTAGTGAAAGAGCCCATTATTTAAGTTATGCTTATTTATTATGAAGCATAAAAAGAATTTATACACAGGTTTTAGATTTTGACAGCTGTCAAAATTTGATGTCGATGAGCTTTGCTTGATGTTTTATTACCAATAGACTGCCTTAAAACAAGAAAGATCCGGAGATGAATATTTTTTCCTACTAAAATATATGACAGGTTTTGACAGTTCTGTATTAATTTTTTTTTCGATTTTTAACTCAGAACTTACATAAGCTAAAACTGTCAAATGACACATCATGAAATATTGAAAAATGAAAAATATGAGTGCTGCAGTTTGGCAGGGTTTTGACATATGTCAAAATGGTTGACATTTTGCGATTTACCTTGGTCGACTTATTAGGAATCGATACTTGTTTTATCATAATTTGCGATAATTACCCTGCTTTTGAATATTAAATTCCAATATTTGACAGCCGATACCGCCTCACCTGTCATATATACAAGGTTGCGCCCTTGGTAAAAAATGTTGCTTACGCCATCACCAATAACATATTTAAATTATTTCATCCAAATATCACGGGTAAGTAATTTCCGTTTAAATATGCGGGGTCCTTTATGGCGCCAATTTTTTGTCATTGACCATGCATTGACCGCCATTTTGTTTGGATTGCCCTTTTAGCTTGGGAGTGACTACTGCGCTGCCCAGACAGTGCCGACTAAAATTTATGAGCACTGTCTAGACAGTGACGACTGAAATCTATCTGCACTGTCCAGACAGCGCCGGATAAAAAGCATCTACACTGTACACTGTACTGTCCAGATAATTTCATGTCTAAGATCATATCACATAAAGTTATAGTTATATTCAAAATGGCTTGCATAGGGCAATCCAACGACCTGTCAAAATGAAATTCAAAATGGAGGCCAATGCCTTTTTATTTAAAAAAAATCCGTTTCATTGCGATTTTTGATTTGTATAAAGTCTGTAAAGTGTTGATTTTTTGGAAAATGCATACGTTATGTATTGTACTTAGTTGTGCGAGCCGTCCTAATCGCGAGAAAGTCTAGTTTCATGCCGTTCCTGCAGAGACAAGACAAAACACAGGTTTTTAACAGAGGAAAATGATTTGTCTGTACTTTGTGAGGGCTTCATGGATTGTAGCAAAAGAGAAAAAATCTTACGAAATCCATATTAAAAAACCCAAAAGTCTCTCTACATAAATGGTATATGGATCCAAGCCATTTACTATCCTCCACATCAGCTTGTGTCGATAAACTTGAATAGCAGACAAATAAAATAAACATCAGGATTCAGGATTTGGTTAAGAAAAAACTAAACAGAAAGCAAATCCTGGATAGTACCTACCTAATTGTTCAATAGGTAAAGGTTTGTCACAAAGAAATCATAATTTTTGCAAACATCCGGGTTTTCCGCACTAATACCTAATTTCTTAATTTAACAACTATCCATCTTAAAATACGAAAATTATTCTTTCAAACTAGTGTTTCACAAGACAAGATTTCTTGTCTTGCTGGGCCTATTCTTGTCTTGTCTTGCAAAACAAGACAAGAAATGAAATTCATTCTTGTCTTGCCCGACTCTTGCAGAAAAAAATCTTGTCTTGCAAACAAGATTTCTTGCAATTTCTTGTTCTTGTATTATTTGTTTTGTGACGTCATAGCAAGAGTCTTGCTTGCAAGATTCTTGCTGCAAGACTCTTGCATCATTCATTACGTTCAAAAGCGTTTCGGGGGCGTGT